CCAACACCGCCCGCGCGGCCGCATTCTGGACCAGTTGAAGCCTCCGGGTGCTCCTCAAAGGGAGCCCCATGTAGAGAGCGTTACAATAGTCCAGGCGGGAGGTGACGAGAGCATGAGTGACTGTGCGCAAGGCGTCCCGGTCCAGAAAAGGTCGCAACTGGTGAATCAGGCGAACCTGATAAAACGCCCCCCTGGTCACAGCCGACAGATGGTCATCCAATGTCAGCCGTGGATCCAGGAGGACTCCCAAGTTGCGGGCCCTCTATGTATGAAGTAATTATAAAAAGAGACTTTGGAGCCAAGTGTATCTTTTTAGGTCAGCTCTGCCCTCGGGCTCAAGAATTGCTGAACTATCGCTCTGTGTTGATACACATATAAATTTTAGGAATTCTTTCTTGTGCCTTTTAGCCCAAGCAATCTGGTTCAAACTCTCTCCAGGTATGTGTGTGTCTTTGATTGTGTGTGTGTGACAGAGAGGGAGAGAGCTGGAGTCAGAAAGAGCTGAGTTTCTCCATCTATCAGCCAACAGAGTGACTTCCTCACTCTCTTTTTCTTTCTTTCTTTTCCAGCAAGTGAGGAAGGATCCAACAGTTCCAGCCAGGGTGAGTCGGAGGGAGCTGCTGCTGCTGCTTCAGCCATTCTGTCCCTTTGCCAGACTTTGGGTGGGGGGAGAGTAAAAGAGGGAGAGGCCCCCAGTTTTTAAAAGCCCCCTCCCCCATTAGCTCACCCTCCCTTTGTTCCCTCTGGGTCTGGTTCTGCTGAAATAATTAAAATAGAGTCAGTTTGGTTTAATGGTGAGGGCACCAAATGAGACATACTGGGAGACGGTGAGTTCTAGTCCCACCTTAGGCGTGAAAGCCAACTGGGAGTCACAAAATCCACTTTCCTTGCATTGCTTTATTCCTGAGGCAGAGAAGGGAAACTCTCCCTGTTGGATTCAGGCAGGGGAGGCAGCCCAGAGTCTGTCTGGTGGAGCCTGGCCCCCTTTGGAGGAGAGAGAGCCCTCAATTCCTTGGTGGGAAATAGGGGAATCACCGGTGATACCATCATCCCCAGTGGTTAGAGACTCTTCTGCTGGCATAGCTGAGACCTGGCTGACTCTGGAAGTGGGGTGGGTTTCTCCTCTCATAGATTAGGGTTTAGGCTTTGGCCCCAACCGAGACCCCCAGGGCAGGGCAGGGCAGGTGGGGGGGGCAGTGGTCCTCTGAGAATCCCTCTGGGCACTCAGGGGCCTTGATCCCCATGTTTCTGGTTGTGACTCCCTGTTTCTGAATCTGGGCTTACGGGATCAGTTGGGCTTGTGTGGCTGCTGGGGGCCATCTTAATGTTGGCAGGGAGTTCCCCAGGCTTCTGGTCCTGGGAGACTTCAATCTGCCCTCCCTGGGTTTGGCCTCAGAAGGAGCACAGGAGTTCATGGCTGCCATGGGCCTCTCCCAGACCGTCCTGGGCCTGGCTCAGGATAGCGGTCACACACCGGATATGATCTTGTCGGAGCAACAGCAAAGTGATCTGGTGGGGGAATCTGGTCTTTCAATTTATTGTTTTAAATGTTCTACATGGCTTTTTATTGAATTTTATTGTAAGCTGAGTGAGTCACCTTGACGAGATGGCATAGAAGTTTAATATTAGATAGATAAGTAGATGATAGACAGACAGACAGATATGATGGATTGCCTGATCTTAGGTCCATCTTGGGCCTGGCTCAGGACATCGGTCACACACCAGATATAATCTTTTTTTATATAATAATTTGAAATTTATTGGTTTTTAAAACATAAATCACATAATAGTTGGTCAACAGTGTGTAGCTTAGTTTACATTTGTAGGGAAAAATTGTTAACAATCTATTTCTATAATTCGTAATCCACATATTCTAACAAATGCAGCTTTTTTCCTTAAATATTCTCTCTGGTAGGTCCCGTCATCTATATTCTTAATTCTCACTTTAGTATTTTAGTATTATTCCTTTGATCAGTGTCATTCTCGATCAATGTATTTTGCTGAATCCGAGGGTTTTCCCATCTATTTTTCCCCAACCATATGATATGGATATGATCTTCTTCTCGGAGCAACGGCAAAGGGATCTGGTGGGGGAATCTGGTTTTTTAATTTATTGTTTTAAATGTTCTACATGGCATTTTATTGAATTTTACTGGAAGCTGCCTAAAGTCACCTTGGAGAGAGATGGATGACACAGAAATTTAATAATAAATGAATAAAAGGCCTGATCTCCTCTGAGAGTTTCGTGAAGCTGCAGAGATTGAATGGCGAAGAGAGAGATTTGTCCTCCTGACAGGGCAAGGAATAGTAGATTCACTCTGTGTCTTTCTCTCCCATGCAGGGACCGACCAGACCGCTTAGCAGCCCCCTGGCAGGTGAGTGGACTGGTGGGGGCTATATGGGGGGAGAAGGAGGGAGGGAGGGAGATGAAGGCCTTCAGGTCCAAGGACCCCAATTGATGGTAAAGATACTTTGGGAAATCCCTCTTCTCTCTCCTATTCATCTCAAACACTGGAAGGGAAGGAATTTTGGGGAAGAGGCATTGGGGTTTTGGGGAGGGGTCTGCCTGCCCCCCAACTCTTATCCTCTAGCGCCTCTCAGGCTCCGACTGTCTTGATATAACTAACCCTTGGATGCTTCTTCCCCTCTTCTTTGCAGCACGATGGACACTCCCAGCCTAAGGAGGGAGGAAAGAATTGGGAATCAACCTTCTTCTGAATTAGACAGGAGGATCCCTTCAGGGCCTTCCAGCATTCTGGAACCAGGATATATTTGGGGTCTTTCATCATGGATTTTATCACAGAATCAGTAACCTTTCTTTATTATGATTGAGGAATGGAGGGGAAAGAATATACCGTATTTTTCCGTGTATAAGACTATTTTTTTCCCTTGAAACACCCTCTTCAAAAATCAGGTGCATCTTATACACGGAAAAATAATGGTAACCTCCGCAGACCAGGGCATGCCTGTGTGGGTTGCCACTAATGGGAGATGGGAGGGGGCAAGATCTTCTGCCGGCCAAACTTGCGGATTGATCGGCGTGGAGAGCGTCTTATACACGGGTGCGTCTTATAGACGGAAAAGACAGTATGTTACTAATTGTGGAATCAAAAGATTTTAAATTGGGTTTTGTAGATAATAGTTTTTAATAAGTATTTTGTATAACCCTTCATGGGCTTTTGTTGATTGATCTTAATTAGAAGTTAGAGATGATGTTTCAGAGATGGGTTTACAGGGAATGGGGTGAGGAATAGGATGAAGAGTTTCTTGGTTTTACTTTAAGAGAGATTTATAAGTTGTTAATTTTCATTATACTTGTGGGGGATAAAGATGGGGGTTTCTTTTTCTTTCTTTTTTTCCTTGTGTTAGTTTTATAAATATAAATGTTATCTTCGAAGAAACTATTACTAAAAGAAGAAGCGTGCATCCTGAGATTTTGGTCACTGAAGACATTGATGCATTTTAATTGATTATTGCACAGTTAATTGAGTATATATTTGATTCAAAGTTTGACAGGTAATCAGTATAACAAGTGAAACATTCAGACTCTGATTTTTTTTAATAGATTGTCATTTATGGATTATGAGATCCATTGCACAGCCGGGCTGCTGCCTCCTTTAATAATTGCACTTAGATTGTAAGTTTGTCAAAGTTGTTTGCTGAAAATAAATGGTTTTGTTTTTCTCTTCCCTAAGTTGCTGCCTATTTGAAGAGATTGGAAATAGGAGGGATTTTACTCTCGTTTTGCTCAGAAAGACCAATTTCGTTTTGAGTAGTAGGAAGGGGAGGAACCAAGGCAAAACCTGGAAGGAGCAAGAACTGGGGGGGGCTCGTTTATCCTCCTTGGGGAGGAGGCAGCCATTTTGCTCCTGGGTCCAGATCTTTCTCCAGCATCACCAGCTGATCTTCCGCAAAATGGCCGCTTGGTCTTGGTTTGGTGGGGGCAGCAACAGAGGCAGCTTTTCCCTCAGATCCACCTTTGTTGAGGGCCGAGTGGCTGGTCTCTGGGCCTCATCCAGGGGCCCTTTGGGAGACGGGAGCTCAGGGACCGGCCGGAGCCCTCCTGGTCCCCTTGCAGGAGGGCAGCTTCTCCTGCCTCTGAGAGGTCCTCTCTGGGCTCTTCAGGGGCCCAGTAGGATGCCCTGGCCCAAGAGTGGGGGAGAGCCTTGATTGATGGGAAAGAGGTCCCCCATATTATAGTGGATGCTTTCTGGGCGAGGAGGAGTGGAAAGGATGGGGTCTGTCATCCCCCTCCCTCTGGACTAGCCATCTTTGAAAGCTTAAAAAGTAAACTTCAAAGCATTTTGCAAGAATTCAGTAGATATTTCAGCCTGCTCTACTGATTCAAAACTTTTAGAAATTTAGTTCTTAATTAGAATATATGACCGCCCAGCTCACATAAGCATCTCTGGTCAGCCAACACAATAAAAATATCAGTACAAGAACAAAAGACAATAAATATAATGCACAGAAGAAAAATGTCCATCAAGGATAGACCAGTCAGCCACAAATTCATTCACTTTAGCTTACAGGTAGTCCTCGACTTACAAGAGTTCATTTAGTGACCGTAGTTACAACAGGATTGAAAAAAGTGTTTTATGACTATTTTTCACACTTGTTGCAGCATTCCTGTGGTCATGTGATCAAAATTTGGATGCTTGGCAACCGGTTCATATTTATGACGGTTGCAGTGTCCCGGAGTCACGTGATCACCTTCTGTGTCCTTTTGACAAGCAAAGTCAATGCAGAAGCCAGATTCACTTAACAACCGTGTGAATAACTTAACAATTTCAGCGATTCACTTAACAACCATGGCAAGAAAAATCGCAAAATGGGGCAAAACTCACTTAACAAATGTTTCACTTAACAACAGAAATGTTGGGCTTAATTCTGGACGTAAGTCGAGGACGACCCGTAGTGGTTAAGGCAGCAGGCTAGAAACCAGGAGGCAGTCAGTTCAAGTCCCGCCTCAGGCACAAGAATCCGCTGTGTGATTTTGGGGCCAGTCATCCTATCTCCACAGGGTTGTTGTGGGGAAAATGGAGGACAAGGAAAGAGCATCAGGTATGTCCGCAACCTTGAGTTCTTTATGGAAATGATAAAAGTGGGACATAAACAGACGAACTCTGGGGCTTAACTCTCTCCCGATCTCAAGGACGTCTGAAAGAAAACAAGGACTTTACTAAGGCCACACTTGGAATACAGTTTTGGTCACCACGATGTAAAAAAGATGTTGAGACTCTAGAAAGAGTACAGAGAAGAGCAACCAAGTTGATAAGGGGACTGGAGGCTAAAGCATATAAGGAAAGGCTGCTGGAATTGGGTATGTCTAGTTTAATGAAGAGAAGGACAAGGGGGGACATGATAGCAGTTTTCCAGTATCTCAGGGGTTGCCACAAAGAAGAGGGTGTCAAGCTATTTTCCAAGGCGCCTGAAGGCAGGACAAGAAGCAACGGATGGAAACTAATCAAGGAGAGAAGCGACCTAGAACTAAGGAGAAACTTCCTGACAGTTAGAACAATTAACCAGTAGAACAACCTGCCTCCAGAAGTGGTGAATGCTCCAACACTTGAAGTTTTTAAGAAGAGACTGGACAGCCATTTGTCTGAAATGGTATAGGGTTTCCTGCCTGAGCAAGGGGTTGGACTAGATGACCACCAAGATCCCTTCCAACTTTTATTATTATTATTATTATTATTATTATTATTATTATTATTATTATTATTATTATTATTATTATTATTATTATTATTAGTAGTAGTAGTAGTAGTAGTAGTAGTAGTAGTAGTAAGGCCAGCGGGGTTCAGCCTGACTCTTAACTCCAAAAGAAAGAATGTCCCAGTGAAGTGGGGCAGAGAGCATTCCAGAAATTTCTGAGTCTCGAGATAATGCTCTGCCCCACTGTCCTTGACCATTTAAGCCATATCCTGTTTTCTGCTTTGCTTAGTAGCCAATTCCCTATTTTTATCTCTGTGTCAATGTGCAACCGTCTGGTATTTTTCCATACTATCAAGAATGCTGAGAACACAATGTTTAGAATATTACCATATATGGGGTCCAGAGGGGTCAGGAAATGCATACGTTGTATGAACTATATATGTGATCTCTGAACACTCCTCGGGGTTCAGATCTTTTTGCTTTGTGTAGCTCTCTGAACCTGCGCAATAAACCTTTCCTTTCCCAAAGAGCTGGCTCAGGTCCTTTCTTTTCACAACACCAGTGGGTGGATGGTGGAGCCTCAGTCACCTTTTTCCTTGATCAGCTGAAGGACTGCGCTTCAAGAACCGGAAAAGGATAAGCCAAAAACTGAACCATTTTCTTGCCTATCTTAACGTGTTTCTAATCTCATCCCCCTCCACTGCCAGGGGCTCTGCGGGGTCTCCCCTCCCCCTCGCCTGCGCCCCTCCCCCCAGACCCAGAGAACCCTCCCGCTTTTCCCAGCCCCCCATTTCTGCCCCTCCCCCCAAGAGGCGGAATGCCTGGGAGGGGATTTCCTGATGGAACTTTCGCTTTCCTTTCCCCGCCTCTCCAGCCGGTTGCGCCTGGACGTCTGCCTAGCAACAATGACGACACGGGAGTTCCTTTTTTCTACTGGCTACGATTGGCCAATCACCCGCTTTGCTTTGGATGGTTGCGTTGTTGATCACCCGGAGCGGCTCTTTCTCTGCCTGAGTCTTCTGGGGAGCCGAGCCGGGATGGCGCTGCGCTCTCTGCCGCTCCTGGTGTTGGTGGGGGTCGCCCTGCGGGAGAGCTGCCTCGGTGAGTCCCTTCATCTCCCGGTGGGGATCCATCCAGGGAATCTCTCTGTGTCTCTCTCCTCCCCCCCCCCCAAAGATTATTCCCAGGAAGAGAATCCCGATTCCGTCCTCTTTCGAGTCCGCTCCCCCTCTGGCCCCTCTCAGAAGGGACCCCAAAGCGTGGATGGGACTTTGTTGCCTCTCCCCCCTCCTCCCCCCCAGGAGAGCCCCTCTGGGAACAGGACAAGGGTCGCCCCTCCAGAGACCAGTCAAGTCTACCTGGGCGCCCCCGAGCGCCGTTCTTTCCCTCCCCCAAAGTGGAGGTTGTGGGAAAGCGGCGTTTGCAGGGACCGGGTCAGTTCCCAAACTTCCTGGCTGCCTTCGCACAACCCCTCCGCCTGGCTCCTCTTCCCTGCCTTTGGCGGGGCTCGGGGGCTCTTTGGGGCTTCTGGTGCTGGGAGGAGCCGGCTCGTTTCTCGACTCGCTTCCGTGTATTGGCAGACAAGGAGGCTGGAGCACTGGAGCCCTCGGGTTAAGGCTGTCCTGGGAATGCAGCAGGAGAAGAGTCTGGAGAGAAGCCCTCCTTGAATTGTCTTCCCAAAGATCCCCCCTGATTGATTGATTGATTGTCACTTTCCCCTGGATCCCCACCCCCCACCTCGTCCTAAACCCCAATATCCCCAGAGCTTTTTTCTAGGGCAGGCAGGAATTTTTCCACCCCAAATCCTCCTCCTTCCATTTCAGGAGCCCCCAGCACGGGAGAGTTTGCAGAAAAGTTTACTCTTATTCCTTAGTCATCAGATGGGAGGTCTTGGGGTGTCCCTAGTTGTTCCTCAGAGAAACTCTCAATGCAGCAGCTTTTCCAAAGGCATTTCCAAAACTGTCAGGATCTGAAGGATCAGAGAGGCTGGGCTGGAGGCAGGAGGAGAGAAGCCCCTCTGGATGGAGAGCCTGAAATGAAGGGCTTGCTTGGACACAGACAGGCCCAGACTGACCAGCCCTTCCTGACCTCAGGAGGATTCGTGATTGTGAGGACGCCCAACCTGCGTTACATTCACACGTTTCTCCTCTCTGGCAGACTTCAGACTCCCTCACTGCTCAGCCCCCCCCCCCGTTCAAAGTTTCAACGTCATTGAAAAAAGAGACTTATCACCATTTTAAACACTTACGACCATTTTAGCGTCCTCGTGGTCACATGTCCAGGATTTGGATGCTTGGCCACTGGTTCATATTTATGACGGTTGCAGTGAGCCCGTTTTGCGACCTTCTGACAAGCAAAGTCAATGGAGAAGCCAGATTCACTTAACAACTGTGGCAAAAAAATCATAAAATGGAGCAAAGCTCACTTAACAAATGTGTCAGCAGCAAAAAATGTGGGCTCGATTATGGTTGTAAGTCGAGGACTGCCTATATTTATTTCTCTGGAGGGCTTTGGAGGTCCTGCCCTTTTCCATGCAGACCCAGGTTCTGCCCAAATAAGTCCCGTGAAGGATCCTGAAAATGATCTTTAAACTCTTTGGTGCCCCGGAAGAATTTCTGACCTGACAAGCTTTCAGAATGGAGACCAAGAAAGGGCCTTGGGGATTTTCATCAGCTTAATCGATTTCCCAGGAGCATTTTATTTATTTATTTATTTTAGTTCTTTTCATCCATTTACAAGTTGTTGGGCAGCCTCAGAGTCTCTTCCGTGTTTCTATTTTGACAATGAAAACTAAACAGTGACTTAACAGTGATTTTTTTTGTCACTGTTAGTCAAGTGTAGCATAGTTTTTACGGTATTTTTTTTATTGAATTTTGAGGTTAGGAGAGGAATAGGGTCAATCTAGGGATTGGGGTTCAGGGTAGGAATCAGGGTTGGGGTTGGGATAGGGGTAGATACAACAATGGAGTTACCCCCATTAACATTTCCAAGCTTTAGCAAACAGATTATTGTCCGGGTACATATATTCAATAGCAGTAATTAATATAATAGTAAATAGCTGTAGTAAATAAGAAAAACAGTAATCATAAAAAATATCAGTTACTCAATACATATTATTCATCTTATTAAGTGTCACAATCATTTCTCACTAGTTCGTTTTGCTAACCATTGGTAAAAATTATCCCATGTTTTAAGAATAGACTGAGTCTTCTTTCTCTTTGATCTCTAAGGTTAATCTGTCCATTTTTGCACATTCTAGAATTTTCTTAATTGTAATCTCTTCAGATGGTAAATTTTCATTTTTCCAATATTGAGCAAATGCTATTCTCGCTGCTGTCAATGTATGCAATATTAGCTACTCCTTCTCCTTCTCATATTTGGCTCCTAATATTCCTAACAAAAACAGTTCTGGTTTAAATTCTATCTGTGTTTTAGTCATCTTTTCCAACCATGTATGAATCTTAAGCCAAGTTTAGCATAGTTTTATGTCTTGTGAATTTAGTCCCTCCTCCAATCCAAGGAAGGGCTGAAAAAACTTTGATGCTGTTCAGTCAGGAGTTTGCATGATACAAACTGAAATAATGTTGTATGTTTATCTCAGATTCCCCAGAGGGGCTTTAAAGGTGACAGGACCCTCCACACGGAGGCTGAGTTTGGGGAGAGGACCCCAGCAGAGCCCCCCCCACCCCACCCAATACGGGAGTTAGCAGCAGGAACTCCCAAGCAGCCTCAGTTAGGGGCAGGGGGTGGGGCCAGGGTGGAGAGGCCCCAAGGTTTCTGCCAGCTGAGGGGAATTCTGGGAATTGAAGTCCAAGTGGCTGAGTTTGAGAAACTCTCATTTAGGCCTTTAGGTGGAGAGTCTTTGAGGGAGGCCTTGATGGAAGGGGGGAAGGGCACAATTGGAGCAGGTAAAGTTTGGGGGACCTGAGCTTCCCCTCCTCTCTCACCCCACCTTCCCTGCCCTCCAACAGTTCAGGCCCTCCAAAAAGCTGCTTCTTTCCCTCTCAGTCGCTCCCTCTTTCCA